GGGGACTGACTCCCCACAGCGAGGAGCCAGCATGAGCAGACCCCCTCCCCACGCCTTCTCAGCAAGAAAGTCACGGAAAAGGCCATGCCCACGTGATGCCAAGCCCACGGCCTCCTGGGACAGGCGGAGCCATGGGTTGAACACCAGCCCCGGGTTGCTGAGGCCTGGGGCGCAGGATCCTGGGAGGTGAGGAACTCTCCTGTATCTTGTGGTGTTCAGTTCACCTGAGCGAGAGCCTGAGAGAGGGAGCGCACTGCCTAACAACTATCCCTCAAAAATGAGCACCTCAGTCTACAAAAGTAGCAGCCTGTGCCTGTCCCCACCACGGCCAGACCAGTGAGGGTGGGGACGCTGCCTGGCACACAGGTGCTCCTCCAGGAAGGAAGGAGTGAGGCCTGCATGGCCGATGCTCAGGAAGGAAGGTGGGCATGGGCCTCCCTGCGGGGGCTGAGTGCCAGCTGCTGCTGCCTCTGGCACAGAGCAGCTCCCCCACTGTGCTCAGCTCCATCGTCAGTATGCGGACAGTAGGAGTGTTGCAGGAGTGACCCTGTTGTGGCACCCTAGTGGGCTTGCTGTGGCCGCCCTGGGGAGAGAAGCCGAGGTGTGGGGAGCCCCATCTTCCCCCTGCACCCACCCTCCCTGGGCTACGCCCACTGGTCACGCCCATTGGTGAGAGTGAGGATATCTCTGAGGCCAGCTGATGGGGAGCTGGACCTGCAGGGAATGTGGGCGTGGCCCTGGGCTGGTGCTCAGCACATGCTCAGTAAGCAACCACCTAAGTAGCGGGAAGGACAGGGGTATCAGCTGTCAGGCTCCAACACCTGCCATCTGTCAGGCACTGTGCCGTGTGCCTCCTGCACTGCTACCATCATGTCCCCTCCACACATTCCAGTGGGATACATTGCACCCACCGCGAACCCCACTTCCCAGATGAGGACATGGAGGTCTTGCGCCCTGGACGTCGGCGCTGGGCATGCACTGTTCCCGGCACTCGTGCGCCTCTGTTGGGTAATGAGATTCGGCAACTCCAGCACCGGCCCTAGTGGAAGGCATCCAGTTGCTCTGTGCGGAAGCCCTCACCTCCCTTGGGCCCACCCCTGGCAAGCCTGGCCCTAACGCCTGTCACGGTCACTGTGAGGGCCTACTCAGAGTCTGGTTGTGCCTGTCCCAGCAGTGACTCACACGCTTGCGCCCCAGGAGCGCTGGGATCTGAGGACCAGGCGCCATTGTTCCCCTCTGTAGTCCCAGCGCCTGCAGCTGGCCCCGCCTTCCCTGGAGCCCCGAGTGGCAGCTGGAACATTTCTGACTTCTAATCTGACATACTGCAGAGATCTTTCCCCCCTTCACTTTCAAATCCCATGTGCTCTTTTAATTAATGAACATTCAGTTCTATGCAAGTGTTTCTTCTGGGACCATCCTTTGTGAGCAGCCTTTTGGGAGCTAACTCATCAGCCTCTTCCCTGAATCCGTGTTTGGAACATTCTGGGAACTCGTTATTGGGCCTTTGAACCGAGGAGCTCAAGTGAGCGAAATCAACAAGCCCGCCACTTGGCACTAGGAGCCGGCAGCGCTGGGAACCGCAGGCTTTGTTTATTGAGAGCTCTTCACTTCCCTGTCTCCCCGCCAGACACCGCTGCCTGGTGCCGTTCGCCTTGCGCCTCTGAAAATGCAGCCATTTGGAAAAGCAGGCGTGCTCCAAAGCCCATGAAGGTCTCTCCTGTGCATTCATTCATTAATTCAGGCCTGAGGCTCCTCTAATTAGGGCACTAGCAGCCCCGAGTCTCATGCATAGCTGGGACAATATATTTATTTTGTGTCTGACACTACAGCTCTACAATATCAGAGCTCAGTGTCACAAAGGTGAAAACCTTTTATCGGCAAAAGCAAAGACTTGACATCCAAATAAATGCGGCTTCAGACTCTGGCCCCTTCACTTACACCTGTGTGACACCAGAAGGGCCAACTGGCCACTCTGGACCTCAGGCTCCTTATATACCAAATGAGAGGGATGGAGAAAGCTCTCAGGGACCTTCCAAGGATGAAATGTAGCAACAGGTACAAAGTAGGGCCACCACTCTTGTGGGTTTCTTCTTCCTTTTGCAGCTGGGGCCCCTGTGGGCGTATCCAGAGGGTCCACTCTCCTCTGCTTTGCTTCAGTGGGAGGCCAGGGTTTGAGGTGGAGGAAGGCCATACAGCTCTCCAGGGCTCGGGAAATCTGCTAAGCATGGAGTCCAAAGCAGGCCGACTGGTGGGAGCTGGTAGCAAACTGTCTCGAATGTCTCCAGTGGTCCAGGGGCTACATTCCTTGGGATCATTTTGCTTTTTGGAAACAGCCTAGAAACAGAACTAATTTACAGGATTACAGGGGAGGCTCCAAGTGGGGGTTCCCACCGCCATCTCCCCTCTCTCTTCAGCCCTCCCGTGGGGGGTCCCTCTCTGACTCTACCTGACCTTTCCGGCAGAGCTCCCGAGGCCTCAGGTTGGTGCTCTGCTCTCCTGCTTCCCCGCCTGGGGTCTAGCTCCTTCCTGAGGTTTGCTGATCTTGGTCCTGAAAACCGCACCACCCACACCTCCAGCCCTCCTCCCTCCGGGAGGACGTCGACTACCAATCCGAGGTCCCACGGCCACCTCACCTGCAACGCCCTCACTCCCACCACACCTCCAGCCTGCTGCTGCTGTGAGCCCTCCACAGGAGCTGCTACTGCGACCCCAGCTGGCCAGCCCAGAACCCTGCCTCGCCCCCTGCTGCCCCGTCAGCTCCCGGGTCCTGCCCATCGGATTTCTCTTGACTCTGAAGGCAGTGACCTCCTTGGTTGAATAGGCTCTGGATCCTTCTGGAAAGGGATTTCAGAAAGGTCGTCGAGAAGGGAAGCCTTGCTGGAGTGGGCAAGCATCCACCCACGGCTGGGGTCTTCACAGGAGCCGCTAGTGAACGCGCACGTTGTCAGGCCCTTCTGCTGGAGGAGCCGCGTCCCAAAGGCCAGGCTGCAGCCGTGCTGATGAGTGTGGGAGTCCACCAATGACGTCCACGGGGGCCAGTCACCCAACCTCTCTGAGCATCCCCCGCACCCCCCTCCCCTCTGCTCACCTCCTAGATGGGAATAAATAAATAACCGTGCCAGCCTGGTGTTTGTGAACATCAAAGGAAGCTATCGGCGGGAAGCGCTCGGCTCCGTTCCCGACAGTTAACACTGTGACAAGCCGCCTGTGGCTTTGCCATGTTTTTACAATGTCATCTATTTATTTAATAAGATGAATGAAAAGAGCTTAGCTTCTGAGATGACAGCACAGATTTGGAATCTCCAGATCTGCACTAAACGCAAAGCAAACAGCTAGATCAAAAACCCTTGATGCAGCTGCTTCAAAACCAGGTTGTCCCCAAATACAAAACACTGCAGTGACGAGGGCTCCACGGGAGTGATGCCTGTCAACGGGAAACAGAGAAGCCACAGAGCAGCAGCCGGTGGACCCAGGACAAAGAACCCCAGGCGGCCTGCAGGGTTCCCTGGGGCCTCATGGAGCTGGGGGAGCCGAGGGTCCCTGTGGGAGAGGGCCGGGGGACCAGCCTCGGAGCAGCGGGCCCTGTGGACCAGGGAAGCCAGGGAGGGGAGCAGAGCCAGGCCTCAGACGGCAGGGCCTCAGGTCGGCCTCCTCACGGCCCATTCAGCCAGCAGAGTTCTCCTGAGCCATGTCATCTTCTAAAAGTCCACAGGATGGCGTTTCACTTAGGAATGAGCCACAGGAAAGTATCAAATTCCACACAAAGTTATTGTAAGTGGAAGGAAAATGAAGAACAGCATAACACACTCACAAGGCAGGTCCCAGAAAGAAGGGCTAGTAAAGCAGATCAAAAGTGCCATCCCTACCGCTTCACCAGAGCTGAGTCAGGAGGTGTGTTGCTCCACCAACGGTCCCACAAGAACCGGGCCATCAAGCACCCTGGCCCCATGTGGTCCCTACTACACAGCTGCAGAGGTGACTTGCTTTGGCCGACTGAAGTACAGAAAATGTGACACAGCCATGCTGCTCAGCTTGTGGGGATTGTGGGCCTCCTGTTGAAACTACTGCCGCTGTGACAGGAGGCCCACCCCAGCCCCTGAGGATGGGAGACCACATAGAGAGAGGCCCCTCCACCTGAACTGACCCCCAGTGGAACTGACCCTCCGCTGGGGCTGAGCACACGTGACAGATTGAGCCCAGCCAAAATGCAAACAGAGCACCCACCAACCAACAGGATGGTAGAAATGACACCCTGTTATTTGTCCAAGCCTCTAAGTTTTAACGTGGTTTGTTGTGCAGGGATTGGTAGCTGATACAGAGGTCAGAATTAACAACTACCAGAGACATTAAACAGAATTAAGCAAGGCATGAGAGTATAATACAAATCAGAAAAAAAATGCCTCAGAATCAGTCAAGAGAACTCAGGAAACAAGAGACACAAAGCGAAAATCATTTCAGAAGGAAAAACATCATCGAAAGCACACAGAGAGACACAACAGACACTGCCTTAAGAGAACCGTCGCAATGAGGTCATTGTAAACAGAGGAAGAGGTAAAAAGGTTTGAGAGAAAGTCACAGATAGTGAAGATTGGCAAAGAAGAACCAGCGTTCAGATAATAGGCACCTTGGCAAGAGACCAGGCACCTGCGGAAAACCATCCTTCCGTGGCAAGTCCCCAGGGAAAGCCAGCTGGAAATTTCACACTGAAAGAGCACCGTGGCCCAGAAGGTAACACAGGCGGTATTCCACAATGCTCCTGGAAACTAATGAGAAAGGAAACATGGTTTTGCTCCTACCTGGGCAGGCCCCAGCCGAGGCTCTGGCTGAGTAGAAACTCTGGCAAACCCAGGGGCGTGGGTCTTGCAGAGGGGACAGCTGGGGAAAGGCCCAGGGCTGGAGAGCGGGGCACACGCTGGGAAGCTGGGGTCTGGCGTGGGGTGAGGAGGGCGTGGGGCAGCCGAGGAGGAGAGGCAGGAAAGGCTTAGGTTGGGAGCACTCACCCATGTAGGGCTTGGTGCCAGCCATGGACGAGGCCTTCTCTGTTCCTCTCACCACCGTCGCTATGTTGAAGTCCGTGATGTGAACATGCCCTGCAGGAGCACAGATCACCCCAGTTAGCGAGAGCCCGGCTGCCGGCCTGCGTCCTTGGGAGGTTAGTGGAAAACGTCGGGACTTCTGCCTAGAGAGAGATCTTATCAGACACTTCAACACTGCCATTCTGTGTGCAGGTCTTAGCATTTGGATGCATTTGTACAACATGCCTGTTACTTATGAATACCTAGATTGAGGGCAGGAAAAAGGAACAGTGGGTTAAAAGTTGAGAGATGCTGATCTCGAGAATGAAGACTCCTGGTAATTAGCCCACAGTGTGGCAAGGCTGTGGCCCGGGGGTCCGTGGCTTGGCTGTGGCTGTGAAGGTGGGAGGGGCTTGTTCACTGGGGTCAGTGGGGTCCTTAGCACAGCCCGACTGGACTTAGCATGGAGGGGGCAGGGATAGGATCGCTTCCGTCCAGTCTGAAGCCATGGCCTCTGCTCAAGAAGCACAGCAAGGACGAGACAGGAAAGAAGAACGGGGACAGGGGACGTGGGGTAAAGGTGGGGGGAGGAGAAGTAGGGAGGGAATTCAACACGCGAAAGAAACCAGCTCCAAGAGCCCCGAGTCCTAGGTCTAAAGGCGGCCCACTGTCACATGGTGGGAGGATGGCTACTCGGCCCTTCACCAGGCCTGAGGCCTCAGTGAGGGGCGTGGGATTTCAACACGCAGCTGGGAGGGGTGGCATGCACAGAATTGACCTGGGGGCCTGGAGGACACCTCCAGGAGGTGGACACACTCCTCCTGGAGCAGGTGCCCTGGGGTGTGCAGAGGGTCCCTGGGGACTGCCTGCGGGAGGGGAGTGCCCATGTGAGCAGCTACAGGGGACACAGAGCACCAGAGGTCTCCTGTGCCAGCTCCACACCTCGGGCCCAGCTGCGAGCCCGGGAGTGTATCCCAGCGGCTGGGCGGCTCCCTGGCCAGTGCCCCAGGGAGAGACAGTGGTGAACCGCTCACTCAGTGATGACCTCAAACTGCCCTGCACCTGTGGACAGAGCCGCAGCGTCGGCCAGGCCTAGGCCAGGCCTCGGCAGGGACTGTGCTTGCCCTCAGCGTTGTTATCCAGCCAAGAGAGGCTCAAAACCACTCCCCGGCCAGGGCCCTCCGTCCCGCACCCTCCTGCCCCTCACCATGATGCTGGCAAGTCTCCTGCTTGTGCTGTGGGGTGTGTGGAGGTGGGAGTTGGTCACTGCTGCGCCCGCCCCATGCCTGAGCAGCTCCATGCCTGGTGACACCCACCACCACTGTGACCTGACTTTGGAAACTTCACACAGGGCTTTTATTTGGTTTTCTTTCACTTCTCCCTTTCCTTCAAAAGTTTAGTATTTGCATTATAAATGTAATACTAGCTCATTATAATAAGTTAAAGAAACAGAACATGATTTTCAGTCCACTCTGATCCCTCCCTAGTGACTCTCCCCACCATGCAATCACACTGATTTGGCTAGCTCCTCCATTAGTCTTCTGTTGGCTCAGGCACATACGTTGGGCCTTTGGTCAGCTGTTTCAATAATGAGATCATGCTCCATGGGTCATTCTAAAAGCTACTTTTGCATTGAGCCATGTACCATGGATATCTTTCCAAATTCATCTGCCCAGGTCTATCTAGGAGACCTACAATCCCTTACCCTTTGTATCTGCTCTCTGTTGCTATAACAAAATACCTGAAATGTGATAATTTATTTTTTAAAAGAGGTTTTTTTAGCCCATAGAAAGGAGGCTGAAAGTCCACGTGTGTGGGGTCTCATTTCTTCAGCCTCTGGTGAGGGTCCTCTTGGCTGCATCATGACATGTGGATGATATTAGGGCTGGAGCCCATGCAAAAGGGGAAGAGTGCCTAGTGCCACAGGAGGCCAGAGAGGGACGCAGGGGCCAGGCTCATTTTTATAACTTGTTCTTGTGAGAACAGACTCACTCCATGAGTTCAGCATAAATCCTGAGAAGAGTGGCCTAAGGACCTAAACCCCTCTCCCGGCTCCACTTGACAGGTTCCACCACCTCCTGCTGCCACCAGTCTGAAGTGTACTCAGGAGAAGGCGGAGCTTCAAGTGAGCAGGGCAGTGGCCTTGAAGCCTGATCAAACCCTGCCAGAGGCCAGACCATGCCACTCCACTGGGCTTTGGGGCCAGCAAGGAGCCAGAGAGGGCAGGGGGAGCGCAAAAGGCGCTGGGGAGGGGTGGGGGTGGACTGCACGGCACGGGGCCTCTGGGCTGTGGGGAGGACCGGGGCTTTCCGTCCACACAGGGGCTCTGCTCTGCTCTGTATCCTGAGTAGACCCCAGGACGAGGACAAGGACAAGGGCAGGGAGCCCGGTGGCTCACTAGGGAGAGAAGACATGCAAACCCTCTCCAGTCGAAGCTGCTGCTCTTTAGGGCCACAGCTGGTACAGGCCCAGACCTCATGGTGGCCCTCAGGACTGAGGGAGGAGGACGCTACCTGAGATCCAGAGAGAGCCACCTGCCCAAGTTCCTGCAGCTGACGGTGGGGAATCCTGCGGGGTTTCTGGGACCCTCACTCCACAGAGCCCAGTCCAGGGTCCTCACCTGTGTCCTCCGGGCCCTCAGTCAGGGGGCCCTGCTGCAGCGGAGGCAGACCCGCTGGCACACACCCTGGAGTCTGCGCACAGCGGTGACACCCTGTGTGACAGACAGCAGGATTCCATTTCTGCTTCCCCAGACTTGCTAACTGATGGGCCGTCACTCCCTGGCGCGTCCTCTGATGGTTGTGAAGATGTAGGAGGTGAAAATTGGCGTTGAAAAGCTTTCCTACGAGCGCCTTCTTGGGAGAATGGAAAATCGACTGCAAAATGTGCAGGTGAGAACCCGGCGGCAGGTTATCTGCTTTTCATAAGTGGAAAATACCCACGATTCAGAGGACGGAGACCGGGGCTGTTGTCGGCCGAGTGCACGGGAAGCAGCTCACCGTCCAGCCTTGGGCACTGTGCGGACATGCTGGGCTTCGCCCGCTGCCTGGCAGACTCCGATCATTCTTCAAACCTGCCCTGAGAGCCGCCCTTGATCTCCTGCTTCTACTACCAGGAGCCTCGCAGAAACCCACAGGGGCTGGGGTTTCCGTGTCATAGTCGGTTTGGGTGACGGTAATGGAGTGCCCCAGACAGGGCGTCAGCCACAGCACAGCTGCTGGAGTTTAAATGGTCTTTCTAAATTACATGTCGGGATTCCATCCCTGGGGTGACAGCAGCAGGCACCCTCTCAGAGGCAGAGCAGCCCTCACCAGACACCCAACTGTCGATGCTGGACCCTCTGTCACCTTGATCTTGGACTTTCCAGCCTCCAGAGGGGTCACACATGTCTGCTTTTGGACAGCCCAGTCCAAGATCTTTGGTCACAGCAGCAGGAGCAAACCAAGATGCACGCCCTGCTGGTGGCCTCTCCTTGCTCTGTGCTCCCACAGTGGAGAGAGTGCTGGTTCCTTTGTCACCGGAAAAGGACAGCAATCCCACAATGGGTGTCTCCTGTGACTTCATCCCACCGTGTACCCAAACCATCACCTTGGGGGATGAGGTCTTGCCATATGAACTAGGGGACACATTCAGCCCACTGCAGACCAGGTTAGGCCCCTCCTCTGGATGATCTTGCTCCCCTCAGGTGTCACCCATCCTAGTGTCCACTATTCTGTGTCAGTCAGCTCTGGCCTAGCCTGCAGAAGAGACTCTCTGAGTGTTTGTTGATTGATTGACTAACCACCAAATAACAGAGTGGGCACAAGAGGCTAGGAGGCAAACCCGTGCATTCCTCCTCCTAGAGATGGACCACACTGCCACACACCAGTGCACTTTGGCTCTTCACCTTCACTGCTGTGGCCATGGCACGCTTTTAGCCTGACCTCTGACAGCAAGACTCAACCGCCCTGCCCAGGGTTTTTGTAACCTCCAGGCCAGGGTCAGGTGGGTGCCAAGAACGGACTCCACAGGACTGACTCGGAAGGCTCTGTCATTCCTCCAACCTCCTCTGGGGGCACCTACTGCCTGTGTGGGGGAGGGGCTGGGCCTGCAGATGCTGAGCACCTGTGGCCACAGGTCACAGAACTAAAGAAGGAGAGTGGGGACCAAGTCCCACAACCTCACAGAGGGGCTAGAATTGCTGATGAGCAAAACCACCACAATGTTTCCCAGGTGACAGTGGCTCATGCCCTTATGCGCAGGCTGGTTCCGGGGCCTTCCCTACAGGACAAAGCACCCGGAGCTCTCCCAAGTGTGGCCACGTCCACCTGCTGATCCACAGACGTGAGCCAACATGGTTCCTGCTCTGCCATGCTGAGCCTTTGCCCTGCGGCCTGGCCCCTGGGATGTGATGTCCACTGCGGGTACTTGCCAGCGACTGAAGGCCACTGCAGCCTGGAGCAGCTCTTGCAGTGGGGCTTAAAGGGTCAGTGCAGGAGGAGATGCCTGGGGACAGTCGGCTCTGCAGGGCGGGTCTTGTTTAGTTGCTGTGACACCTTTTAGTCCTTTCCTCTGGAGTCACTTTGGTGGGTGCCACACCTGCCTGGAAATTCCTGGGCGTGGGTGTAGAGGGGCCCACAGCCGAGGGGGACCAGGTGTGATGGGCAGAAGGCAGTCCACAGGCGGCCGTCTCCTTCCCAGGAGTGTCACCCGACTTGGTCTGTCCCCGTCTCTGCTGGCCTATGGGATCCATATTAGGCCGGAGCCAGAGGTCAGAGAGGTGCTGCTGAGCCAACTGACCAGAAGCCAAGGAAGAAGAGGACCAGGCTGCTGGCCCAGCTGCTCCAGAGGAGGACAGGCTCCTCCCGCTCGCTGCCAAGCGCTCCGTGGTGCGCAGATGGATCCCCGGCTGAGGGACTTCGGCCAGCGTCACACCACAGGGCTGCGCTCCTGGGACCAGCGTCCTCCGTCTCTCTGCGTGACCATCACGGCTCACACTGCGGGACAGTGGCAAGGGGAGGGAGAAACAAGCTCCCCGGCAGGAGCCTGGCCAAGCCTCACTGGCCGCCAGGTGCTGGGTGATGGATTTTGGACCG